CTTGAGCTTGAGCACCAGCTGCGTGGGCGGCGCGGCTGGCGGACCCGGCGAGGCGCGCTCCGGGCCCGGCGCCCCCTCGGCCTCTGACCTGCGCGCCGGCCGCTTGGCCGTGGTGGTGGCGGTGGCTGCAGTGGCTGCTGCGGCAGCTGCGGCCGCTGCGTCCCGCCGCCGCTGTTCTTGCTCCGCGCTGAAGCGCTCCTGCGCGCTGGTCAGGTAGTAGCCGATCATCTCCTCGTGGAACTGGTGCCGGTGGCTGGTGAGCAGCAGGCCGGCGAAGATGAATTTGCGCTCGCCTTGCATGGCGGCGCGCAGGATGTTGAGGCTCAGCTTTACGTCCGTGCTGTACTTCCAGGCATCGCCCCTTGACCCACTGCCCTTGTCGGCCGGCGACGCTCCCGCCGCCTTGTCCGTGGGCGACGGCGTGGTCTTCTCCGACGGCGAGGTGCTAGCTGACGCTCCCGATTCCTCTTTGCTGCCCTTGCGCGACTTGGACTTTTTCTCCTTGCTGCGCTCGGCGCTGTCGCCGTTTTTGCCATTGGCAGAGTTGGCACGACCCATCTTACCGTGCACCAGGCCTCCTAGCCCGCCCATGTTTTTCTTCAGCTTGATGCCCAGCGTCTTGCTGAAGCTGCCCAGCTTGTTCGCTACGGAGTCGGCGCGCGTCTTGTCCTTGTCCTTGCGCTGTTTCTCCTTCTCCTTGTCCTTACCATTCTTGCCATTATTGCTGTTGGAATTGCTGCACACAGAATCGCGGTCCGAGTCCAGCGATTCCGCCAGGGACTGTACATCCTCCCCGGCTGAGGCCGTTGGGGACTCTGGCTGTGCAAGGGGAGCCTGTGGGGAGGGAAGGCAGCAAAGGAAGGAGGTTACAGAAAGGCTGTCCCGTACAGGCCCCAAGAACACAGGTAGAGCTGAGACTGGGATACTGGAGTTTCTGGGTGAGGACTCTGCTGCTCTGGGATTTGGGAGGGTTGTCTACCAGAGAGGGACGGAGCTGTTTATGGACTAGGAGCCCACAGAACCCTGATCTGTTGCAAGGGTGGTACACAGGCTTGCAGATGTTGGCGGAATGCTCTCTAGGGACTTCAAACCTCAGTGCCATTCTTTGAGGGAGGATGCATGAACCTTCTCTTGGAATTCACGGATTCCTGAAAGTCTAGAGTCCTGAGTGGATGAATAGAGGCAGGATGCCCATAACCTAGCTGGTGTGGCATTCCAGAGCCTCAGTGTATTTTATAGAGAAACACTAGGTCCGCACTCTGGCCTTCCTCCACAGCCAGACTATTGGCACCATTAGAAACAGGTTACAGGTCTCCATGCAAAAGTAGAGGCCAGCAAGTGAGACAACGTCTCTCCCACACAGATGTTTCCCCTCCTTATTCCAAGCAGGGGCTACACACCTTGCCCTAGACCCCATTCTTTGTCTTGGACCCTTATCCAGCTATGACAAGTTACTTCAGAGGTTCTCTTCTCAAACTACAAGTTACTTCAGGGGAATGCTAAGCTAAGAAGGATGCTGGAAATGGCTTCCAGTGAGGATGTGGGGTCTTGTGGGTGGGCACTAGTGAAGGAATGCCATGGAGAATAACCTGGACAACACTACCTGGGTGCAGCCAGTGAGGAGGGCAAGGCCATGTAGAACATGGCTAGGTCCGTCTCTGGGACAGGTGGCAAGCCTGAGCAGGCTGTGGGAAGAGGGCATGCTGGGTAGGCAGCTGCCATAGTTTCTCCAAAGAGGGACCTTCCTGTGAGGAGAGTCACTGGGAAGGCAGCATCTCTCAAGCCAGCATCTGGGTGTGTCAGGAACTAGGACATGCCTGAGCAGGCTTTTCTGGTCTCTAGAGGAGAAGGGAAAAGCCATTGCTTCTCACTTTATTTTTGTCCTCTGCTCAAGCAGGTTCTAGAGGGAAGAGCCTCTGTGGCTAGGTCAGTAGAAGCAAGGCTGGTGAACTGCTCACCACCTCCCAGGCAGAAATCCCTCCTTCCACTTGGGTTTGGGAAGAGTGTTGAGTTTTAGGTTGGCTCGCCAGGGACAGTAAAGGGTGTTGGCTTCAAGGCTGAAACAGGGAAAGGGGCCCCAGTAAGTGGGGGAGCCTAGGCTGTGTGCCCTTTAGCAGTGGGGTTGTCTGCTGAGCTTTGTACTTGATATGGAGGTCACCAAGATCTGGCCAAGCCTCCTTCTCTTTGTAGGGCAAAGATGTGCCCCGCTGGAGTACTGATTATGGATCTAGGGCGGCTGTCATTGCATACCACGTAGGTATGCAATCATCCTGGGGCACAGTGGCATCTTCCAGCATGAGAGGCAAGACTTGGCCACTGACTGTCTCTTGTGCCCCAGGAACATGGCGAATCAGAGCCACATGGGGGCGCCCTACTTGGATGATGTCCAGGTGAAGCGGAAGTGAGCAATCAGAACCGTGGGGCAGGAACCTTTCAACGAGATCTCTCCTTTCAGTACTTTGAATCCGCTGGATACATATGTAAACGGATGTCAGGGAGGACCAATTATTTGCAAGCAATTTACACAAATCCCTTCCCCCTAGGAGTTCCCTCCCAAGATTATGAAAACATCAGTCACACACTTAAAAAGAATCTCTCAGCATCTGCAAGCAGGGGCAATCCCCCTCCCACCCCCGGGATGGGTCGGCGGCTCTCCGTCTTCTATTAGCTCCACCAGAGGCCACCTCCGCCTCGGGGAGGGGAGGGGCGCACGCTGAGGACAAACGCTGTTGGTTCCCCAGATTTTCTAAGGATCCACACACAGTTATAATTAATTCCGCTCTGCCGCGGCACATTTTGTTCCGATCTCAGCAGAGATAGTTTTGTGTTATGACTTGCCTACGGTTTGCTTTGTGAGTGGGTGTGTTTATTCCTCTCCTGCTGTGTAAAACAAGGGGTGGGGGGTAACACGCGTGCGCCTCCCACCAACAGGAAGTGTTTGGACTAGTGGCTGGGTCGGGTCTTGGTGCACGAAGGTGTGGGACCTCCCCGAGGCGGAGAGCCGTGCGCTGTGCTGCGCGGGGACATTTGGGAGGGAGGCACAGCGTTGTCCGCGCCTCGCAGAGTGGCTGCTGCCCTTCACTGGGTCGGGGCTGCGTGCACTCGAGGCTTACCCGGGTCTCGGAGGGGATGCGGATCCACGTCACATTCATGTAGCTGTGTAGAAGGTTCAGCTTGGCTTCTAGGGACAGGATGAGGCTGACAAAAGAACACCCAATGAAAAGCTCCAGAGGTGACAGGAGCTCATTCGCCTGTGCGTGCAATCCTCTCCCGGGCCCTTTAGTCCCCCAAACCCCAACAGGAGTCCTGTCACCACCACTCTCCCGCAGGGTGTTGGAGTCGGAACTGAACTGCGGGGCAAGTCTTACTTGGCTAGCCGGGCATTGTCATTGTCATCTTTCCCCCACTCCCAGTCCTTTCCTGGGTCCACTGCAAAGTGCAAGGGCAGCAGCTTGTGTTCTGAATCCGTCAGAGGGATCACAGCTGAAACAGAAGAGAGAGAGAGAGAGGCATGGTGGTAGGCAGCTCACCGGCCTGCCAGGAAGTTGGGGGCACCAGCAGAGCTCAGAGCTCTGGAAGCGAAATTCAAAATAGAAATAAAAAAAAATCCTGGGGCAGGTAACCCAATGGAGATAGAAGGAAGACTCAGAACTTGCATACCACGAGTGTTAAGACCATGGGTTTCAAACTCGATCACATCAACAATTTTCTATTATGTAGGTGAAGAGCAAGCAGGTGGAGGCATCGCCTGGAGTGTCTGGGTCTCTTTCTGTTAGAGGGTGAGCATCTCTCTGCGTGTCAGGATGAGAAAAAGCTATGGCTGCTTCTGCAATTTTTTAGGAAAGACCGAGGCTGGTGTAGTGAACCGTGGAAGGCCACTTTTGGAGTGGCCTCCATTTCATCTCAGGGAAGGGCAGAGTTTGCAAGTCAGGAGAGGTGTGTGCTGAGCTCTACTGCAGTAAGACTGGAGGTGGGGGCTGCCGACCCCCTGACCCTGCTCACAGGGAGCTCACCTGTGCAGGGCCAGGCAGTAGCAGTATTGGCCTAAAGCCCCTTTAAAAGGGAGTAGAGAGGGAGGCTTCCGTGGAGGTGGTGATCAGGTGGGGGATCTGCCCTATTATTTCTCAGAGGAGTTGGTTTACCACAAAGCATCTGGACAGAAGCACACCAAGCCTGGGAGATCAGTGGGGGTGCGGTGGGTATCTACAGGTGTACTGAGATCTGATAAGAGTTCCCGAGGGATCCCTGCTACCCAGAACATGGAATCCTTCATGTCACATCTGCCTTCTCCTAAGGGTGTTGCCGGGGTAATGAACAGGAAGAAGTGTGGGGATGGTTTCCAAATTCCACCTTCGTAATGAGTACCAGCCTCCTTGTGTCACTCCATTTAGTATGGCCCACCCCTCTGCAGTCTCATCACAGCAGAGAAGCCCAGCCCAGGGCCTCTGGCATCTGCTTTGTTCCTTTGCTTGCCCATAGCCTATGATTCATACCAGCAGTGCCATGGCAAGAACAGAAAGGCAAACAAAATACAGAAAATCCAGGAGCCAATACCGCAAAGTTGAGAAATTGGATACGACTCAATGCTGCCCTCTAGTGTTTCTAAAGAGATTGTGCGTGCAAACTGCTGCCCCCCCCCCTTCCTTCCCACCTCTACCATAAACAGATGAAAGGCAGTTTTTGCTGATTATCAGCCAGCTTAGGGGCTTTCCTTGTGTGTGGCCAGGGATGGAACAGTGTAGGTAAGGTCTGATGGAAAGAGGGGCAGAGGCATCTCGGCTTCTGCTTTGATGTGGCTTTCCTTTCCAGGGCTGAGCTTAGCCTGTCTTATAGGTCAGCACACAAACATTAAGGCTTTAGTGTGGCTTCCCACCAGTGGCTGGGGGCAGGAGTGATCCTTACCTGCTCCCCAGACTCACTAGAATTTTGTCCCCTAGGGATCTGTACTGTATACAGAGGGCCAATGCAAGGGTCCTGAGTCAGGATGGAGGACCACATTGTAAATATGCATCCCCGTGGATCTTGAAATCAAGGTGTTTTGGGAAAGATTGTTACAGACGATAATAACTTGTCAGGACTAGTTCCTGTGGGTATAATTTGGGCATTCTGGGTTAGGCTGTCTACCCCTTCGTGTGGCAGAGTTGGTTGGAGAAGTATAGTCATGCCAGCCATGACTATACTTTCCATCCTCTTAGCAAGGGGGTGGGGTGGGGTGTGGTTTGCTTAGCCGAACACATAGGCTGTGAGTAAAGTAATGTGGTCAGTTCTGGGCAATATGGCCAGGCTTAGGGGACTTCTCCCTCTCTGCCCATGTCTCCTGTGAAGACAGTGGAAGTACAAGACATCTGCAGCAGGCTCTTGAACCCCACTTGGAGAAGAATTGCCTGTTAACCAGAACTCCAGTACAGGCTTCGTTTACTGGGGAGCCCAACCTGTGTTGTCAGCCACTATGGTTTTGTTTTGTTTGGTTTCTGATAAATTACCTAAACTAGGACATCCCAGCTTTCTTTCCTTCCTGCTTCCTGCTATACTGTGCCTGGGGATTCTTACCCTCAGCAGATAGCCTGGACTGGGTTCCTTGACTGTCCACTCTGAGAAGACAACTGAAATACACCTGAAGATTCTAGGGCTGGCTACCTAGAAAGAGCCTGACAGTCTGTCAACTCTAGTCTTGGGGTGAAGAATAGGTCCTAAGGGAGAGGCTGGAGACATACGGCTCATACCTGATCTTTAGAGTATGAGCTGCTGCCTGTTTGAGGGCTGAGGGGGAAGTACAGCCAGGGACGTCTCAAAAACAGGCTGTCCTCATGAGCACCAATTGCACTTCATGTCTGTCCCATTGTACATGGAAAAATACCTGCTTTACCCAGGCAAACAAATGGTGGTATGACAGGGCACCCCCTGGTGGCAAATGTCCATAATAGCAACAGCTTCCAAAATAGGCCTGAGAGGATTTACTCTTTAGTTTGCTTTGGAAAGAACTCTCTCTTACTTTTAGCCTGTAATCCTACTACAGCATCTACAACTAGCCCATGAAGATTTGGAATTTTTACTTTATGAAACACAATGGATATTTCTGCTTGAGGTGTTCGCCATTACAATGAGAAAGCTGCAAATTCTCAGCATGTCTGTAGCCTAGCCCTGAATGGACGGCTCAGCCAGTCAAGTGACTCAAATTCTAAGGAAAGAAAAAATGCCTTAGAAGGAAGATGGAGACAACTAGGAGGGGTTGATGCGACCTCAGAAGGAAGAACTTAGCTAAATGTGTTACACACATGGGAGCCGGTGAAGTTATGCAGACCCTTCCTCCAGAAAAGAGAAACAGGAAATGGTAAACAGATAAAGCAAAAGATAAAGGTGGCATCTTCAAAGGGACGAAAGAAAAGCTGCTAATTCTGACCCCAGCAAAGCTCTGAGACAAAGGTGATTCAAAAGCTTTTCCAAACCCAAAGGAGCCAGTTCACTGCCTGCTGATCCACACTGGGGAGTGTCAGAATCTCACGGGGAGGAGGATGGTGTCTCCAGCAATGACTTAAATTTACCGAAAGTGATGCAAATGAAATAAATGGAGGTGAAAGTCAAATTCCCTTTTTTCTTCCTTTTACTAATTCTGAGATGACCAAATCTCTGCAGCCAAGAGAACAGTGAGGGGTGGAGGGATGGGTAGGTGGGGGTGGAGGTGGGGGTGATGTGTTGCAGAGAGAGGATTCTGGGTTGCAGTTTCCCCACAACTCAGGAAGTAGACAATATCACTTGAAAATAGAAACTCCTTAAAGATTCTGTCTGCAAACCCTAGGCAAACTGCTAATAACAAAATATTGGTAGGTAAATAAGCTAGGCAAATAGAGTTAATAAATACCACAATTAATCCAAAATAAGACATGGAAGAAAAACAAAAGAACAGGCAGAGCAAGGAGACTAGCAAAGATGGTGGTTTCCACCCATCCTTACTGTTCATATAATTAAATACAAATAGTTAACGCTGTCAAAAGATAATTATTATTGGGATTAAAGCAAAAACAAACAAAGGTAGCTTGCACCACTATACTAATTCCATAGTGAATCTAAAGGTATAGGTAGCTTAAAAGATACTTTCTAATACAGAGAGCTAGGGGAAGCCACCTAATATCAGACAAGAGTTAAGATAAATAGTTACAAAGAGGACCATTACATAACAATAAACAGACCTCTTCTCCAGACAGTCATGTGCACATAAGTTGTTTCCAAATGCACACAGCAAATGCACTCGACACAATATCTACATGCCTACATCTTGTAGGCCTGTGGATGCCTGAGCAATGGTGTTTACCCTCTCACAGACTGTATTCTTTCCTATATGACCATACCAAGGATTTAGTTTAATTTATAAATTAGTCACAGTAAGAGAGTCACAGCAATAACTAATGAAATAGAACAGTACAAGATATACTGAAAAAGCAGTGTGAGTGTGGTCTCACTGTTGAATTTTGGAATTTTCCATTTAACATTTTCAGACTATAGCTGAATGTGGGTAATGGGAACAACAGAAAGTGAACTGGGGATCGGGGAGTGTTCTACAGTGCTAACAACCATAAAGGAGAAGGGCCAAACATGTTTTTGCTGGACACTTGGTCACCCTTGTCCTAGTAGCTGACAGAACATCTGCCAGTCCATTGGTGTGGGCCCTACCCTAAGTCCCACTGGCCCAGAAACACAACATAAGCCTAGAGAGATGCCAGCAGCTGTCAGCTATGGTGAGTGAACTGGCTATGGGCTTAGAAAGCTAGGCTAATAGGAGTGTGCCCAGGTGCCAGCCTCTCCTTCAAGCCCTGCCCATCCTCTCCTGAGCTACACAGCTGGTGCAGGCACCCAGATGCCTCACCATGCTTCCTGCGAAGTCTGTGCTGCTCTCTGAAGACCCTGGTTGCTATGTCCAGGTATCCGGTGGATAGAACATTTGGCCAGCATGATCCAACTGAGGCGTGCACTGAGGACACCTATGCAGGTACGAGTGGAACTACGTGCTTTTAGGAGCAAGCAGCTCAGACTGCCGTTCAGGCTGCCCACCCCCTTCACCTGAGGGCATTGTTAGCAGCACAGATCCTTTCATTTCTGTATGGTTTCCAGTGCCACTAGCTTGAGCTGTTGTGGCAGAACATTGTAGACGAGGTGGCCTGTAAGCAACTGAAATTTCTTTCCTTCTCAGTCCTGGAGGCTAGAAATCCAAGGTACCGGCAGATTCAGTGTCTCTTAAGGGCTTGCTCCAGGAATGCAACTCGGCGTAGAGCCTTTTAGCCATTAAGTTCATCCATAGGCCCTGGCCTCCTTTCAATCTTTTGTGAAGTTTGTGGGCCAAGAGTCAAGTGTGCCAAATCATGACAGCCTCGGCTGTAAACTTAAAGCCCTGGTACCCTGACCCTGGCTCCTCTTTCTCCGTCAGGTGGTGGTGGAGTGTGGGGGAGGTGAAGAAGCCACGAGGAAATGTATAAAGACCAGACGAAGTT